TAATATATGACGATTAAGATAGATTAAGTATTTTTGTGTGAAAAATAATTTATTGTGGTCAATTAAAAATATTTTATAGTAAATATGATAGTTTCGAGAACTAATAAATAGTTGAATAATTTATTCTAGTTTGGATAGAAACATTACATATCTATTCTATATAGGATATTTTTAATCAAAAGTGGTTCATTCGCAGAAGACTTTTAAATAATAAATCGACACAAACTAAAATTTTATCAACAGCACAATCTTTCCACTTTTCTCCAGCAGAACAAATTCGTTTATTATTCTCATCGTTCCACCGTAGATTTGCCAGAGCAGGGGAGGGGAGAAAGGGAAAAACTCTCTTTTAACGTTTTATCCGAATTAATCCTGAAATGCATATGACTTCATCATGTAGTGTAGTCATATGCATTTTGCTGATTTTATCAGATTTTACGAGTATAGGATAATACACGACATTCTTTTTGTGACTCTTACTAATCTCCAACAATTAAACTAAATAACCAAATAGATTTAAAAAATTATGTAATTTAAGTCATATATGTAAATTAATTGATCGAATTGAAAATCAAGAATTGTGATTTTTATGAGTTAGAAAATTTTATCAATGCATACCAACATGTTTGTAAAGAATACTACTCATTGATAATTTATTTATTTATGTTTTTATACTACTATAGTTTTAAATACGTCGATTTTTGAAAATAAAAAGATTCTCAGAATTTTTTCTCTTTTTTTTGGGAGGTATTTGCTAGAAAATGAAAGTTTGTTTAAAGACTTGGACAAGAAAAATTCTCTTGGTTGGTCATAAAACCTCATGATTACGTTCGAACAAATATTTTCTAATATTTCCGTTCTTTAAATGGCTGCAAAAGAACAGAAAATTTAGATGTGTACATGTAGAAGCTGAAACGAAAACTAATTGTATTTAGAACATAGTAACATATGTTCACAAGTAAACATAGTCCTAATTATCAATATATTCTGCATAAAATGAGATATAAATAAAAATAAAAATAGAGTAGATGATAGTAGATAGTTTCCTCAATTATGTTCTATCTTTCAACTATTTAGATCATCTAAAACAGCTGCTTGATAATCAACAATCAGTCTCATTTGTTGAAAGATTAGACCTCGTACTCTCCTTCTATGCTTAATTTTTCATGTTTTGCACGAAAATGGACTCTTGTTTTAAGGAATTCTTTTTCTGGATAATTTTCAACGAAAGATCTACTAAATCAACACTCGATAAACTCATTGCTAATCTGTCCTTTTTAGAATATACCGCAAAGATCCTGATTCGAACCTTGTTAGAATTTCGAAATTCTATGACGGCATACTTTTTTTTGAAGAAAAAAGTGAATTCTTGCAGGATCTCTATTGATTTTATTAAGTATCTTACAATGTACATTTACTACTCATGTGTGATCAAAGCGAAGACGATTGCCAAAATCTATACTAGACCGAATGCACATATCATTCATATCCGTATTCTATTTTTCAGGTCTTATCAGGACGAAAGATATATCATTGGGATGAAACATAAATTAATTTGCGCTTGATAAATAGTCTTTCGCTTCGTGTATAAGAATAGAAACATTATGCGAAGAACTTTTTCAAGATCATACATATGATGGGGTGTAGAGTTCATTTGTAAGAACTCACAGTAGATACAATATAGGAAGCTGAAAATTGGAATTCGTTGACATTAAAAACTGTGTGTGCGTTTTCAATAAGAGCAAAGGGGACTCGTTCTTTGGAGATTATAACGCGGTTTAAAAATGTTCGGTTCCCTCTCAGACTATCTCTTAAGACTTTAAGCGAATATCTATGAGTACTTAGCATCACTTGAATCTATCAATCGCCTTTATTTCTTCTGTGAAAGTTCGATTTTTTTCTAGCTCTTACCTTTCGACAATGCCCCATATCTTTCTTCAAGCATCATATGCCAAAGCATTTTCTCATAAAAGGTCAGTTGAATCAAATAGCCATCTTTATGCAACAACATTGTCGTTCACTTGACTATTATAAAACTCTAAATGAGTTAAGGTATGATATTTTTTCGAAGCGTCAACAAATGCTTGTATGAGTTCACGTGAAACAACTGATGCAGATATACAGAGACGTGAAATAAGTAATCATTTTTCAATGACTTAATCAAACGAGCTTCTTTCTGATCTGATGGTTGTATATTTTGAATGTGCAGACTGAGGGACTTGATTGATTGATGACCTCTTAATATGTCCAGAAGATTAGAAACGAAAGTTTCGCCTTTGAAACCAATGGGATTCATTAAATCGACTTCATCAAGTGTTTTATTGTCTTTCAACATTTCACAAAAATGGGATAATGTTGCGGGTGTATGCAGAGAATAAGTGAGTTTTAGTTGGCGTAGTGTATTTGTTTTCAAATTAAATATAGTGTTCAAAAGATTGATGCTGTTACAATATTCTACAATCAGTCCTGTCACAATTTCGTTTGCTTCAAGACACAGCTTCAACTCACGTTCATGCCCAAGAAAGTCACTCGCAGCGAAATCTAATTTTCGATGTATCTTGTTTTGCAATAAAAATCGAGCGAGTATCTGTATATTTCCATCTTGATATATGTCGGAGAACCGAACTTTCAATGATTGATTATTGAAGTCTGTGACCATATATTTGCAAATATATTTTGGCAGACCAATATAATTGTTAACGTGAACAGTGATCATATTCAGACAACGAATCGAAGAGCGATTAATGATAATGTCAACCAATGTATCGAGATCATTCTCGTAGAATGAACATCCTTCAAACACCAACTTTACGAAATCAAAACCTTCTTTGAGAGCATCACACAGCATCCTAACGTTTTTGGCGGTAACATTCGCTGAACTTATAATTGCTTCGTTGGCGTTTTCATTGAATTTACCTCCCATGGCTAGAAAATCATTAAAATATTTATGTATTCAGGTTTCTGATACTAGGGTGTAGGTATAGATGTGAGTGTGGCTGTTCCTATCATTATAGCACCTACATCCTCATCCTAATCGTCGAAAATTATTACAAATTTTTCAAATTGTCGCTGTTTTCTTGAAAATCGTTTCAATTTTAGTATTGAACAAAAGAATATAACAAGAGACTGATCTGGAGCATTTATCCTCTTAGAGCAGTATATCTGGTATCTTCCACTGTTGAGTATGAAGGAACGTTATTATGTATATATTTAAAAATAAATCTGTCTTTTTATCGATTATTTATTTGTACTTTATTTATATTAATACAAGAGACGTATTCATATAACATTTACTTATATTTAATTTATCGTTATTTAGATAATTTTCTCTCTGAAGAATACAATTGTTTTGTTGATATCCTATTTTTCTTAAAGATATTAAAATACTAATCTAATTACCTGATAATGCTTCAATCGATAATAAAGCATGTCTACTATAGACTTCATTCACTAATATCAGTTTACGTAATCTGAATCCAACATCAAATATAACACGTGTTATTTAACCAGAATTTACGATTTTGCTTATATAATGTGCGAAGTTTTTAGATATTCAGTCACAAGTATATTTATCTATATTATCAAAATAGAACATTAATTTTTACTATCTATGTGTTAATGACAAAACTATTTATCAATCAATTGTTATTTGGTTGCTAGTTGATCTAAAACAACTTCAATACGTCATAGATTCTCCCACTATCATCTATTATACTATTGTGTTAAAATATGAGAGCTATATATGAATGACATATGATTCAACTTCGAAACAAAATACAAATTCATACTAATTTCAAATATTCTAGAAGAACGACAGTATGTTAGTATAATAGTAGAAAATGTAATTTATGGTTGAAACGAAGTATGGATTTTCTCTAAAAAAATGACCGATCTTTAACGCCTACTTTTTCTATATGTAAGTTTTACTGTACAGCTGTAAAGAAAGTAATCCTTGAAAGTTCATGTAAAAAAATAGTATTGTTAACCATGCTTTAGACTCGTTAGTTTAAAAGTTAATATCTATGACATTGTTTATAAAATTGGGTTCTTTTAAAGAACAAATCGTCATAATATTAAACATAACTTAATAGAAACTATAATCGTACAAGACGATATACACAGGGTATCTGGAAATTTACTCTCAAACAACAACAGATATTGTAACGATTTTTTCACTGTTTTGAAGTGTCCTTAATACTATAACATATAATGTCTCAAATTTGTGCATAGGAATCTTCGTTGCTTTTTTGGATGCTCTCTAGACAAACTTTATACTGGATATTAGACCGTTAAACGATCAATCGGCTTGTTTCATCTACAACAAAATGCCATGACACATACTTCGAAATAGTAAAAAACTCGTTACAATATCCTTTTTTGTTTGAGAGTAGTAAAGAAGTTAAAATAGAGTGTTATACTTTTCAAACAGGAGAAAAGATTTAGGATCAATGTAAATAATATTTCAACATTTTTTGGAAACAGATGATAATTGAGAATTCGAATGAGTCTTCAGCAAAAAAAATTAGGCACCAGCTATATATATATCATAACAGTAAAAGTTTCGAGCATGACTTGATGGATGAACATATTGAGTTTCGTACTCTTTTGCAAACCATTAGGATACGTCGTGTCTAGTGATTTTATTTAATATTTGCTACCGTTTCAACAAAACAAAAAACGATATTCCCATTCAATTATATAGTTGGCTATTGAATAGAAACTATTTCAATTCTCTCCACATTAGAAGTATTGAAACATCGAATAAGATAAGATTCAGAAATACAACAGATAACAGTAGATAGTTCTATTGCTTCAATTCTAACCGTCAACTATTTCAGCCATCTAACATCACTACTTAATAAGCAAAGATTAAGATTTCTTGACAAGACCAATAACGACTTTTCAAGAGCTTATATTTTCTGAGTTTTTAAAATTGCTTTTTTTCCAATGAAATATTAATCTTTATATAAGATGTCTGTTTTTATATAATAGTCTTTCATTTAGTAAACTGAATAAAAGGGTTGCTTACCAGCTAATAGTCTTTGCTTTTTCACTACAATAGCTTTCTTACGCCATTCCATACCCTTGTCAAAGTTACCGGCTTGTGCTGCGACTTTGCCAAGATCTTCATATAAATCATCAAGTAAAGAGTCATAGAGTGAGAGTTGTTCTGTTAAGCGAATAAAATATTTCTCAGCCAAATCAAATTTACTCATCGTCGACAGTAGTCTTCCTAACGTTCGAAGACCTGTTTCTCCACTTCCAAGTTTTTGTTTCATATCCATAAGAACGTGCTTTAATTCATGTTTATTATCACTACATAACGTCATTCCGATAATCCATACATGACTATCACTACTGCATTCAATACTTTTCAGACGAAAAATAGAACCAAGCATAAAAAGAATTTCTGCTTCGCCAGGATATGCACTATGTGGACGGATATCAGCGAAAGGTTTTTGTAATAGCCACGAGAGGATCAGCATCAATTTCAAACAGTACAGATTCGAAGTTGCTTGTAGTATCAGAAAGATTAAGAAATGAAAGAGCTTTTTGTTTGTTAGTACTAGTGGAAAAGAATGAATTTACTGAAATTAACTGGCCATGACATTGTTTCAAAGGTTCCAATTCATTACTTGACATCCTCTGGGTTCGATAAATTCGTAGAGTTTTTTAGCTTGGTTTTCTTTCAATCGATTATAAATATCGAAAATAAACGCACGAAATAAAAAAGTTAAATGAATATCTTGCATACGCAGAGCTTCATTAAGAGTCTTGTAAAAGAATGATTCTCTTGTATACCACCATAGAACTCTGTTTGCTGAATATTTCTTTTCAAATTCATGAAGATTATATAATTCAGCAATGTCATTCTCATATTTCTGTTTACAAAGACGAATAAGTTCTTGTTTATCTGCTTCAATGTATTTTAATCGGAGAAAACAATCAATCAGAAGTTGAGAATAAACAAATTGGCCATTAATACCCATAGTTGATGTACCTACACTAGTACTTGTAGTAAAAATATTAATGGACAAAGGTTCTTCTACTATTTTCTGAATTCTATGATCAGTTCCAATTCGAAAAATGAGCTCATCAAGTTCAACAACAACAGCTTTTACCTGTTAAGCAAACATTATAAAATAAAATCAAAATTATTTTAAACAATTGTACTTTTGCAAATGTGCGAGCCCATTGTTCGTTCTTTTTCTTATTCATGCAGTATACATATATTGATACAACTTGTTGAAGTTTATGAATCAAAGGAACTATTTCTCGTCCTAATTGACCACTAACAATCGTTATTAGTCGATCTTTATGTGATCGTTCTTCAATATATTTTTGACACTGCTGTACGTCTTGAAACTGTATGAGATTATTAATAATAGAACGCAATCTTTGTTCTGTATTTCGATTTTCTTCAACGCTTATGTTGGCATCGAGCCATATAAGACAGAAAATTTTAGGATGGTGATCGTCGATGTTTGCATGACAGTCATCAATTGGTGTAATAGATGTGGCCGTCTCGATCAAAGAAACTAGATAGAATAGAAATTTTAAGTGTTGTTTATTCGATTGAGTTGTCCAACATAAGAGTATTTTCAGCATATGAAAATGAATTTTATACTCGAATTTTTATTATTTTGTGTATTAGTATTTATGATATTGCTTTCTTTTCTAGTTTTGATACCATGTCAGACGATCGGAGAATAACATATTCGGTTTTGTGGAAGAAAGTGACTTGCCTTAGATTCTTAGTTTTTCTAGATAAGATCATCGAACCATGGTGTAAAACTTGAATATGAATCGATGTTATTTGCATTTTTTTTCATTTAGTCATCTAAGAAGTTTAAAAACCAGACATATAATTTCTCAATAAGTTAGACACTCAGTTTGAAGTAACTGAATCATCAAATCGATGTGTTACTTGTTCTTAGAAAAGCCTACTGCTTTCAAGAAATGTTGTTTCTTATCGGATTGAAGAAGTCCTAGGAATTGATCCTGAAAGAAATATGAGACTGTCCATTAAGATTAAAACTAAAAGGGTAGAAGTTTTTTTGTTTCTTGAAGTCGTTTTTCAGTGTTGAACACATTTCAGAAGAAAAAGATCATTCTATATGATATCTGAACGAAGAAATCGTTCTCTTCAACTATGAAATCTAATTATTTCTAAAAAGAAGGAAACCTTCTTTGGATATGAAGTTTGTTCTTTTGATCATGTTGATTTTAAATCTTAGATATTAAGTCTCTCATATTTTAGTCCGCAGCATGAAATAAACAACAAAAATTTTGCATGGTCTTAACTTTCTGAATAATGACAATACATTGAGAGGACTTGTGTTGCTTCAAAGAAAAGATGCGTGATGATATCATTGGTATATGTGCGTTGACAACTATCGACATTTATCTTTCCCTTCTGCTGTAAATCGAATTTAGACTGTATATATTGCCCTTTAATTCCACATGTCACAAACGAAAAGAGAGTCCTTTATTCGATGTACTCATCATTGGACAAATTTATCATTTATCCCTGTTGACAATAATCTCCTTTGAGAAAATTCTATCGAAAGGATGAAAGAAATCTGTACCGATAAAATTTATTTTTCAGAATTCATAAACTTTGTCACAGTAGCTCTACAAAATTTCATTATTAAGAATTTAGCATTGTTTTGTTATTTCGAAATTTCATTTTCTTCAAGAACCTGTTTTTCTCAAATAGAATAAATTTGTAATTTTATAGGTCTTGTAAGTAAAAAGAAAAAGAACAGATCACACAGACAAGTTCTTCAAAAATAAATGTTTTTATAGGCTTAATACTTTCGTTAAAACACTGTTGATGAGAATTTTTAACGCATAGAAACGGGGTAAATGTGAATAAACATTTTAGAGGAATTATTTTCTTTTAACCTATGTTCTTTTACCAGTTTCTCTACTAGCTTCTATCAGCTTTATACTATGATTACTAATGCTTATTTTACAAGATTAATATTCAACTGGTGTTTAAAACACTCCAGAAGACAGAGTTTTTGTCGATTCTTAGTGCATTTACTTTATATATTTTTAAGAGAGAGATCAGTTACTACTTTTAGGCACACTGTATATTTTAGTAAATGTTGAAGACTGTTCTACTTCCTTAATACCCGTGCCACTTAATGCATATGATAGTGCACTTGGTCTTGTGTGTTGATGAGCCATATTATAGAACTGAAAGAATGCTTTGCTTTTATTCATTCATTAAATGAAAATTCTCAAACGTCCACGTAATAATCATTCCTGATTTTGCCAGTTGTAAGATGTAAAATTCATGTAAGAAATCTCGACGAAAAATCAGAACAAAGTCAAGTAGTTTTTCAGTAAAAACCAATTAAAATCGTGTTATTTAATCCTGATTACAAATAGATTTTTCAGCTTCGAAGGTAAATCTTCATTGATGACAACCGTTTTTGATCAACTAATATAGTTTTATTGATTAAAACCAAATGAAATCTAACTTCAAAGTTGGAAAATCAGATGTTTATTGTATTCAATTAGTGCCATTTTAATCGAATTTTTCGTTAGAAAAAAGTCCATAAAAATCATATTTTTTCTCATTGCAAGTGGAAAAACAGATAAGATCTGGGTCGCGCTAGACTAAATTCTTACTGGACCACCGATCTGGAGAAAAAAATCTTTCTGAGCTGTATTGAATCAATAATATACTCTTTTTTCGATTCGATCAGAAGTTTTCGTCGAAACTCTATGTGAAATAAACATCATACTGTTAGATGGTTCAGATTTGATTGCTCGATTTCTCGTGCTCAAACAGATACTTTCTGCAATTTTGAGTACATGAAGACGAAATTGTTCAATTTCACATACGAATACTCTTCCTGTTGTTTGCTGAAACAGTGATGCATTAAGTTATGTTGAGTTTTATTTAAACTAGAGTGCCTTAAATCAAATATCACCTATCCGATTTTGTTGAACAGATTTTCCCGTACAAGATCTATTGTCTGACATATTGCAGAAATTAGCAATTTTACATTTACGGCAATTGATTTTGCTGGTAGAGTTTCTTATTTCTCATAACTCACAAAAAACTATATAGCTTACCAAAACTTTATTGAAGTAGTCTATCTTGTAGAATTTTCTGAACTACTCATCTTGGTAAAATTTTTTCAAAAACTATATTAAAAAAAATGAAAATGGTTGGATGCAAATGACGATAACTCTTAGTTGTTTCAGATTCTTGTCGATTTTCAACATTTTATTGTAGCAACAGTGCTTATTGATGAAAGTTAAAAACTTTTAACATAATGATCAGCAAGGGCTAGGCGATACTTCGTTCTCTAAACATGGATATTAAGCCACTTCTGTTAGAAATACTTTATTTCTCATCTAGACAGGAACCAATACTTTTCAACAACAATGGTGACTGTTAGGTAAATCGAATTAGGTCAAAGTAAAGGAACTATTCACAAAAAATTACAAATCCTCTAGTCATTTCTATCTTCATCTATAATCATTCAACAAGCTTAGGTAGATATCAATTATTTGACGTCTTCATCTCTAAGGAGACGTTCCAGTAAAAATATAATGTACCTAATGAAAAGAAATTCATTCATTTCCTCTCTCACGAAGCCGAAAACTAAGTAACAGTATATTCTCAAATTGAAAACTAAATCCGTAAGCACAGTGATTGATAGATATATGTGTATGTTCTTTCGTTTCATTTGCTTTTGATTCGTACGAGTTTAGGTTAAGTGAAACATTTCTCCACCATTAGGAAAAATTTTTCCATCGACTGGTTCAACCGTCTACCGATATGAACAGTGTAAGAACCTCTACAACATTGACTACTTTTAACTATCTTCAACGACTATTCGATTTTTTTGCTAGTGACTGCTGGTGAAAGTACGTATGCACAGTGTCCCAGAAATTCTGAAATGAATTTGGAGTTCACCATTTTTTGTTTTCAACAAAAATGATTTCTTTGCAAATTTGACAGCTCATATTACTGACTTAGTACTAAACAACAAACTAGGAAACTATAAAAACGTTATGCATTAGTTATTCAACTTTTACTCCTCTTTTATTAATATTTTTGAAATCAAAACTGAACCATTACTGATTTATTTTACATGTCTATCGTACACAAAATACCAATCTCTTTGATAATAATCATCATGTTGAAATCGAACGAGCTCTCGCAATGCATTAATAAAAATTGAAAGTGGTTTAGAAAATAATATCCTGTAAAAAATACTAGCCGATATTACTATATTTCACAAATTTCACTTCTGATATTGTTTGTGCTTTAGATAAAATATTATATATTAGTTCAGTAGAATCTCTTCAATATGCTGGTTGTACTATGAATAGAATGTAAAGGACTAACTAAAATCTGTGCCACATAATCCCAACTTTAGAACTAACGAGGGAAGGCCACCAACTTTTCAATTTCTTTTGCGTTGAAACCATTTGCGTTATGTAGTTTCCAAAGAGTTATGAATACGTTGAAAATATTTTGAGCGGATAGCTTATTGTTACGAAAATAGTCCATTTGTAAGATATGTTTTTGATGTTTGCCGTAGTCTCCCTCGGGAACATTACAAAAAATTGATTTTCCAATTTCGACTGGAAACTTTGCAAAGAAATACTTCTCAACGAGAATAGTGTTTTCTGAAAGATTTAGGCCTTTCGATTGTTTGTTTCACCAAATCTGCTACTTTTTTTGAAGGATATAAAATACAAATTCCACAATCGTAGTGTCTAGTGATAGGAACACTAGAAAGATCTGAAACGTGCGCAAAAAGTTTTTCTTCTTGGGGCGTCTTTCTATGTAAAGTTTCAAGTCGAAATTCGAAAATCAATTTTCTCAATGTTCCTGAGGGGGGACCCCAGGCACTCAATAAAACCCATACCTTACAAATAGACTATTCTCGTTACAATAAGCTATCCGCCCAAAATATTTTCAATGTATTCATAACTCTTTGGGAACTACAGCGCAAATAGTTTCAACGCAAAAGCGATTGAAAAGTTGGTGGCCTTCCCTCATAAGTTAATTCAGCATTCGATTGTTTTCTGAACTATTCTCTCGTAATAGTACACAAAAGATTTTGACATTTTTGTTTATGCGTTAACTATGTGTCATTTCTCTCACCTTAATTTTAAAGGGTATTTTACTTTCATTTAAAGTTTTGTTTTTAATATTTTCAATTAAACACATCTTTTTTTTTCTAATCCGAGAGATTCTTTTGCAAGTTGCTTATACTTTATGGTTTTGGTTGCAAGATGGACACCTGTTCTTAGGAAGTCTAACATTGCTGCGCTTCAATATTCTTCAAACTTCAAGTCTTAAAACACTAACCTTTTGCCTAAGAAAATAGGGTTTCTTTTTCTGCCCCTAATGAGTACAAACTTTTGACAATACATAATGCTTAAAAAAATTGAAATTCTTTAACAGTAGTTGACAATTTCTGAGACATCGAGTGTTTATTCAACTGTAATAAACAAAGGTTGATATTTACATTTTTCTTATATTGATATATACAGAAATGAAAATAAATGATTGAAAGCAAAATTATTTGTTACGTCATTCATATTGAACTTAATCACTTTACAATTATTGAAAAATTAAAGTGATTGTCAATACTAGCGTTTTTACATTTACCTTTTCATAGTAGAAGCGATAGGCCTCACATTTCATTGTTCTTTAGTGACAAGATGGCACAATAATCTATCTATGTTACCAAGAGTTTTCTGTTATTGGACATAATAAGAATGAGCCTTAAAATTGTTTTAAAATTTTGATATGTCTATTGTAGTAAACAAAATCGATATTGAATATACCTTTTAGGGCTTCTCAGTTCGGAAAATATTTCCAAGGATTTACATAATGATTTTCGAAATCGAGGGACATATATGAGCAGTAAATTCGAGATTTTATTCGAATAAAAAGATTATGCTATCGAGTAGATAATAATAAAATTTAAACTGTGCTGTCATATAAGAAAGTTTCTTTTGAATAGTGTTCGAGAAAAATCGCACAAACTATACTGAAACTGAAGTGATCTATTGAGATGCATAACTGTTTTCATTTAGTTTGATTTCAAATTAAAAACTTATGGTAATCATATAGCTATTATCGTGTTATTTCTTCAGGTAATGAACATTACTTTAGTTATAACTTTCAAAATTTCAGTGTTTCGATTAGATTATTTTTCAAGATGTCTTTCTTAAAACTCATCATTCAATATTAATGTTTTTTTTTTTCTATATTTTTAAGTTATTCATATTCACTCTATAGAATATTATATCTTTATAGTTATTTAGGACCAAAGGTTGCTTAAACAAAAGAAGACCAACACACTTGCAATGCAAGAAACTGATTAGAACTAAACGAAACGCTTTATCATATGACGAGTTTCTACGTAGAATACAAATTTATTTTTTTCACTTCTTAACAATTTTCTTGATAAAGCTTATGAGTCATAGACAATGATGGTTGATAACAAAAGCAAAATTACGCTGTAATGTTAGAATCTGACAATGATACCTTGAAATAATGACAACAGCAGAAAAATCTTATATAACGTTATGTTTTGTCTAAATTAAAATAATTTTAGATTATTTAATCAAAGACTATATTCAATAACTACATACATGATCATCAAAACTCTAATACTCTTTTCACTTGTTTATGAAGCTCTTCTTATACAAGTTCCTACGCCTCCAAATCCACAACAGTTCACTATTACTGCAGGAAAGCCTAAAGAGGCACCACAAATCGAAGTAACAACAAATTATGTTGATCGTTTTGCAGATCTCTTTCGCATTGATGTAACTAACGAAGGTCATCTTACTGAACAAGCTTTCTACTATGGAGCCAAGAAAACCGGATATCTCATATACTATGATCAAAGTCCTCCTAAATGTACAAAAACCAGCGAGAACGATGCAGATATGTTACAAGAGTGGCAAACATTATCCTATGCTGGCAAAACAAAATCCATCACTCCACCTCATATAGAATGCAATATGTGGAATAAGACTGTTCAATCTTGGACGTGGAGCTATCTTGCTTCTGTCAAAGACAATACCCCTATAGAAATCTTGGATAACAGTATTCTTATATCAGTCTTTACAAATTATACAGTTGGACCATCTGTTGTACCAAAGAGCGTGTTTAAGTTACCTGTACCAGAAAGTAGATGCAAATAGACAGATGCAAGTTATTACATGAAAAGATGAACTCAATGTTTTCCTTTTTTTTCATTATGTATTATTTTTGGTTGAACAGTTAATTACAGTTATAATAAAAAAAGAGTTCATTTATTATAGATTGCTCATTAGCCTAAAGAATGCTAGTTTATTTAACCATAATATTATTCCTATCTTCGTTAAATAGACATTTCCTATGTCAATTGCTGTAAATAAAATTTCAAAAACTGAAATATTGTGAGAGTTCAGAAAAACATCATCTACATTGGTAGAGATCTAGTGTTGAAAAAATTTTACATTTTCACACTATCAGACTTGAAAAAGCACAAAAAGCTAAGTATAAATTCCATATGTTGAGTCCTTTTGGAATAAAATCTTCTGATGATTTGGTGACTCAATTTCACAAGACAGAGTTACTGTATATCAAAAAGCACCGATTTTCGAAAATTTTCTTCATCAATTTTATTTTAACTTGCAAACGTAATCGATAGAGCGGATTCATGGTTGATACTGACAACGTTTTTGCCACAATCAAATTTATTATGACCCTGTTTTCCAAGATTCTAGAATGAAATCGGTTATGATGTAGGATGTTAAAAAATGCATCTTTTGATAAATGTATATATATGCAGATTAAAATAATAGGAAACCGGCCAACAATAAATCACAATATTAACAAAACATGTTTTTCTGCTAATACCTTTTCATAACAGAAAATGTGTGAGTGTTTTTTGAATTACATTTGAAACAGACTATACTACTGTATAGTTTTACATAACATTCAACAATATTGTCTCATAATCCGATAGGCAATTAATGATTTTTTTTTTGAAAAATATTGAAAGTTTTTTTTATACTTGCATTGAATTTTAATTATAAAGAGTGTGATAGATTCGTCAATTTGCGATTCACCAAGCTGATTTTTCGATATTGTTTCCTTCAAAAATCATAGGTCTTCTTACAATGGCAATCGAGAAATATTCAAGTAGAAAAAAACTCATCCCGAAGCATCTATGAAATTATTTAGAAAACTCCCTTCATTCATGGTCTCATGCACAACTTTATAACTCCGAAAGATAACATTTATGCTCATTACCGTAAGTAGATATTCCATTTATATCAAGATATATATAATGTGGGTGTGAGTATAACGTAGCCGTGTTAGTGTGGTTGGCGAAAACAACCACACCCACACCAGGACACACAAAGCATTTTTGCTCGGGAAATCTAGATTCAAGCTTTTATAAAAACGAACATAATTTGTGCATTTCGAAATATATTTTTGGTGACAACAATTCATTCTTAAAAGAGATTTTCATGAAATAAAACCACCATGACAAACTAGCATTAGTAATTTTTTTTTGTTCTGCAACTATGCCATGAAAATAAACAAGATGTACAAATATTTACACATTCTGACACTTGTATAATGAACTAGTTTTATTCAAACTTTATCTAATCAATACTCTTACTGAATGTTTATGATTAAATTTTTCATAAATTGATGATATCTAAAAAATTAATATTTTTTTCAGATCAAAAATTATTTAATCCTTTAAATAAGCAATGTACAATCCAAATAATACTTATCTATCGTTTCATTTTGTTGAAAATATAAAAATTATTTCTGTTACACTTCTTCCTACTTTTGATATGAACAATTCATTAACGAAAACAAAATTATCGTTTAAGATGTTTTTCGAACGAACTCAAATATATTGGTTCATCATGAAAAAATCTATCGAATTATATTTCAATTGATATTTTATGAATTAAGATGTTTTTCATATAATGTTGCTTTTAATTACATTCTTCGAATTAATTTCGCTGATACATATTGAAAGAACAAACAGTCGAGTTAAACATCGAAAATATATTCAAAATATATGTGCATGTCAGTAAATATTATAAAAGAGCATATGTACACAAAAGGACAAAAAAAAAAAAAGACAAACGATTAATGACAATCTCTTGATTAAGACACATGAGAAATAAAGGATTCACTGGGGTAAATAAACTACAAGATATATATCGCGACTATATGAATAGACAAGAACTATCAATCGGTACTGTTCAAATTGCTAATTAAATATATTGAATCACTGTTTAATGATCTAAAACGAAAACATTATTATTATTATTATTATTTGAGAAAAACAAAAATAAAATTAACCTTATGTTGTTCTTCATTGTAATCATTTAAATCTAATTGAACAAAATCATCATGAAGGCCATTAGCTGGAACTATTTCAATATCATCAGCAATACTTTCTTCTTTATCTTTTGAAGGTTCTTCAAAAACTATTGTTTGTGTTTCAATTGAATTATAATATTTTTGTTTATCAATATCAGTTGGTTGATTAATAATTAATTCAGGTAAAACAGTTGTTCGTTGTTTATTATTTAAATTTGACCTTGCTGATGAACAAAGTTTTCGAACAACATCAATCTATTTAACAGTTTTGTTTTTTTTTTAAAGAAAAAATTAATTAAATAAATAAAATATACCTGATGAGGTGTTCGAACTTTGGCCATAACATGATGTGCATGAATTAATTGCCGATCAGCACATGATTCACATAAATCATAATCAAAACATTCAAGACATTTATAACGAATACCAATTATTGGTGAACGATTACATCCTATTTTATAATTCAATAAAAGTAAAATTTTAAAAAATAAAAATAATTCAATACAAACCATCACAAATAACGCCAACATGTTTTGGTGGAAGTAGTTTCGTTGGAACAAGATCATCTTTTATAAATTTAACAAAAACTCGAAGAAGTTGCTGACGTGATGCTTGATCACGTGCAGCCTCATTTATTCCTTCGGGTGTTGTAGCCAATACAAGACCACGAATATCATCTTTACAAATTATTTTAGTTCAATTTGATTTTAAATAAAATTTTTCATTTTTTTTTTTTTTTTACCTTCATATTGAAATTCAAGATGAATTCCACTTGTTGGAGACATTAATTCCGGAAAGTATAGTGAAATTTTTTCGCGTAGTATTGATAAAATATTTGTAGAAGATGTTAAAACTGGAATGCCTATTCGACGATATTCACTAACACCGTCTAATTTTATAATGCACAATTTTACTTCAACCATTTTATTGTTCTTCTAAAAATAAAACAATTAGACATATACTAAATATATTTTTTTACCGATTAAAAGTTTTTCATATATTTATATAAAAAACAAATCGAATAGTCTATTTGAATTCTATATCATCGTTCATAATTACAATTACTAATTGAATGAAACATATTCTTGTATTATTAAATAATTCTTCTAATTCATAATTGATCTCATACGCAAGAAATTATTTAAAAAAAAACACAAGATCATAGAATAAAATTCATTCGAATTGAAGATTATAACAATGACGAAATTTTTTTTCTTAATATAACCTTTTTCATTGTTATTTACCAAACAATATAAAAAATATCTATCTGTATCTTATTTTTTCATAGAATAATTAGTCACTCTTATGAATAAAAACTTTTTCAAAACTGTGAATAAAGGAAACGACGTTCAGGCTTGATATTGATTAAACAATCATACTCACATGACTGTTTTTTTTTCTTTGACGGAAAAATTTTTTTACTGATTATTTACCAATAATAATGACGAAGGAAGTAAACATTCTAGAAATTCATGAGTCACACATTAATATCAATGTCCAACCAGGTTGAATGGAAGTCAGCTATCAAAGAAATAGTCTACATTAATTTTCTTTTTAATATTTATCATTTTGCATGAATTTGGAGCGACTATTTTCAGCAACGATATTAAAATATATCGCACAATAGTGACATCTGTCTTATCCTACACATCGATCCATGTAATGACCATCAGCAAAAAATCGACGGTTCATTGCTAAAACTGATCCGATTTTTTTTTGACATGAGGAGTCAAGAACATTCAATATAAGAATATTCTCGAGAATAACTTGACAAAGTCTTTTTAGTGAAGAGAATTATTATATAGGAGTTAAACGAAATGAAATTCATTTAAAAACAATCCAGAGTCAATGAAATGATACGAATCTGAATTAGCTTTTGAAAACAGTTGCATTGTGATTAGAAACGATCTTTCACAAAAACAGGAAAAAAACATCCATAATTGACGAAAAATAATAGAAAAACTTTTTTATTACAAAAGTTCCTAATGAATTCTTGATATAATCATATATTACCCTAGAGAAAGTACTGAGCTCAAGGTACCCAATATGGGTACTTCGAAAATTCTCAGTAATTATACTGATGTAGGTACTGCATGGGGTACCCATAAAAGTACGCTCACTGAACAAGTACTTGTATGGGTACCCGAATCTGTATTATTACTGAGGAAAACTCTACAGGGTACTCTATATTTGTTGCGTTCTGTGTAACGACAGTTCATTCATCGTTTTCTTTTTCACGCACGGCTTCACATAAACAACTGGGCAAAACATAACAAATTAATCTATTTTCATACTAATTTTTTCTAGATTATTTCTTGATTGTTTCTTAGTCTAGAACATGTCAATCGTGATCGTAGAAGAAGAGCGGACTATTCGGAAGTGGTCTGATGGATACCTGACCAGCTCAAGTTCGGTCAGATTCCGACATTTGACCTGCTGAGTTTTCGGAATTGAAAAAATTAAATATAATAAAACCGAAAAAAATGTAATAAATTGTTTTCAGAGAAACAAAAATGAAAAAAGTCAAAGGTCAGGTTCGATCCTGAACGTACTGAAATTTTGGCAACAGGGTACCTAGAAATACTGTACAATAGTACCTGATTGAGTATCTGATCAGTATCTTCAAGTACCCAGTTACGACACATTTTGTAGCAGGATACTGGTAACAGGGTAATTTTTCGGGTATCCTTAACTCAGTACATTCTCTAGGGTATCAAGTAACTTTGAGTATGATTATTTGCTTGCATCAAAAAGTGATAAATATTTTTGACGACCGGTTGATATTATATGAATACTTCGTTCACATAATGAAAGTTTATTTCGAAATCAATTATCAAAATTATTTAGCATTTTCATATCTAAGAATAAAAAGAAATTAACATATGTTAAAATTCTTACCATGAAAACTTATTATTTGATAATACTTTATTCTTTAATAATGTAACTTGAAAACAAAAATCGCATAAGCTGGCTTTATCGAGAAAAATATCTTGCATACGTGCGAATACGAGAACAATGATTCGAACAAGGAATGTAGGTGACTACGACATAACTCCGTTGAATTATAAATAATTTTCATTGTTTCCTGGCGGAATCAAAAATTTTTCCTGTAGTCTCATAAAGTAACTTGTCAGCTTTAGCATATCCAAGTATAATATTTCGGATATATGCCCAAGTTGAGTCGACCTATCACTGATAGAAGATATATGAATTCATAGGTAGTAAAGAACAATGTGTATTGAAAACGATTCTCATGGTCAACTATTTTGTGCTCGTAGTTGTTCGTAGAATTAACTTGATGAGTTTGATCTACTGATGGTAACAGTTTCTAATTGGAAGACGTTCGTGGGTGTTCGCGTCTTTTACATAATAGTATAATACCAAAAATACCTCTTCCTAGGATGAATAAACCAAAACAAAAATTAGATGGCGTAATCTTTTTTTTTTGTGTCTGATGTACACTTTACAAATAAAGTCATTAAAATAAATATACCGTCAATACGATGGTAGAATGTGTCATCGTTTTCTCTCTACTGTCGTTCTTTTTTCTGAGTCATTTCAGTTTTCAAACTTTCTGTTTTTGCAAAGGTAAAGTGACTACTTCAGTCAATAGACATACGAATATGAATCATCAGTTTATATGTCCAGAGTCTACTTGGTGGAGTAGGTGCATATATCGTCATATAGCTTGGTGATTTTATTAATATAGGAAGTATAGATTCAATGACTAAGGCGCTGTTTTTCTATGCCACATAAGCAAGACTCAATCATATCTTATATTTAAATATGCTTAAAAATGAACGGCGATATAAGTCATTTACTATTGACATGTTTCGGACAAATCTTCTAATGAACTATTGATGGGCACGACGATTCCTCTTTCTCAACCAATAATGCCTTTGATGGTTTTATTTGATAGCCAAGCGTCAAACCTGGTGTGCAATATTCGTACCGAAGTTGGTTATGTGCAAACGTTCACAGAACTAGATGTTTGTCTTTGTTTTATTCGATCGCATCCAGATCAATTAATATTTCTCATCTGTTCAGTACCAGTCACTGATCAAATCATTCTACAAATGATTGACTGTTCAAACGTTTTAAAAATCTTGTTACTCTATCCGTCCATTGACTCTCAAACTTTGGCTATGAGCTATTGTGACAAATTGGTCATGTTCAATGAGATAAACAATCTGCTGCAAGAGCTGTATAATGAATTCAAAAAATATGACAAGGAGCAACTTAGCACTGAATGCAACGAGCCAATAAATTCTAATATTGGATCAGATCGTTAAAACCATCATGTAAAGAAGAATCGATTACTACAGACGCGAAAAATTGTGAGACTCATAAAAAATGACAAGTGATTGGTAATAAATATATAGAGATCAGCGTAGATGTCTGATCGAATTGTGAATATTCTGTAATTGTCTATTTTGTTCGTACACTATCACCTACGATGATGTCATATGCAAGTACAAGTACTTCTACTTATCCTACCTCTGACGAAAATAATCATTTCCCTATCGAGAGCTATCGTGAGCAATGGTCACACAAGTAGGCTTTGTTCTGATCGGTACCATTTCCAATCGAACTGACGATTCGAGAAAACTCCATTACAGCACATATTGTATCACTAGACTCGCTATTGTATGTGGCATACACTTTTTTTTAATTTGTGTTAATATACTAGGAGTTGCATGGAAACCATCATTATTGATGCAGACTGTTTATTAAAGGTGTAACATATTATAAATGTCTATAACAACAATAATCAGTTTTCTTTAATGACTGGGACTAGTGACTCTATAATCTGCGATTTTTTTCCTCTTATATATTGAAATGGAAAAACGAAAATTTCAAGACGGAACTAAAACGTAACAAGAAATTGTCGATACATCATATTCCGGTAACTTTAAGCAATTGAAGAAAAGAATATCTGTTATTTTAATATTTGCTGATGTTCTAACAATTTCGAAATCGCTTAAAGCTCCATATGAAGTTCGGTAACGGATCACGATACTAACTATTGAATGCGATGCACACAAGAGGAATGATGGTATAAACTCTTTTCTCCTTTCACCTGGCTGCCATTGACAGTGACGTTAGTGAATCATCGATGACAATGCGAATGAAGAGAGCAAGCAATAGATTCCCAGAACCTGCCAACGGTAACGTATCAAAGTCAATCATCCTCATTATTCTTCACAAAGACTCTGCTCGAAACCAGTCATTAGTGTTTAATGAATCTGATTATCTGCAATAACAAGGATGTATTGATTGACAAGTGCAATCATGATCGTGGTAATAGTGACAAAAAAGAATGAAGTACTATTTCGCTGTTTCACTTAAAGTCTCTGTCAAGACCATTCAATTCAGAACTACATTTCAAAAAGAAATTGGCCATCTTTTCGAATAGTTGCTCATCGATATTTATAAATGAAATGATCTAAAAAATTCAAATTATTCGAAGCTAAATTTGACATTGAATTGAGTTTAAGTCAATACGGAATAAATTAATAGTCTTTTTTCTATGTAGTTTCAGACATTTTTTAGAATTCTTGCCTGATGATAATAATTGAGTCTGTTAGAAATTATTTTTGTTTAATCATGTTGAAATATCAACCATTTCGATTCGATTCTGACAAAGTCTCACTTTATTTCAAAAGTCAAAACTTCTCTATTAGTATCTCTTTCTTATACATAGATGAAAATAATGTACATTGATAGAGTACGTTGTATAATTTATGCAGAAATTCTGATGATAGACTACCATCTTGGTAGATATCAATCAAATATAAATTGACGAAAAATTGTTTTATGATGATGACTTTTGTAAGAAAACATCAATTCAGTTTACGTGTTTGTTTCATCGCAATAAGTCTCCAATAAGACTATATGTTTATTACCTATAGTACCTATTTAAAAAATATTCTATATAACTATAATAAACGTAACTCATTTATATCTTCGGTTTTTTCGTTAATGACAATTGATGAAGACAGAAGTTCTTTTTTTTTTTGTGCAATCGTCATTGAAGTTGGGTTGATTTTGTATTAGAGTTACCTAATTTTTTCAAATAATAAAACATATCTATCCATGCAGTTATAAATGAATTGTAATTATGATAGGGTAAACCAAATTTACTACATTCTTCTTGAACAATGTGTGCAATTTTTGGATAAAGATAAATATTCATAGAAGGAAAGAGATGATGTTCGATTTGATGATTTAGTCCACCGCTAAGAAAAGTGGCTAAGTAACTACCAGATTTCCAATTAGCTGTTGTGTACACTTGATAAATTGCCCAGTGTAATGAACGTCGATTGTCAGTGTTGATCATTGGTATTTGTAACTTTTCTTGAATGTGATTGACAATAAAGATATTTTCGAGATAATATGCACCAATTACCATAAAAATGATGAATGTAATTAATGTATATTTTCCACCAAAATATATATAAGGAATAATGACATGAATTATCAGCCACAAAACTTTAGATATTAATGTTACAATGATAATAATAAATTTAGTAGCTAAACGAATATTACCAGCTTTCGATTTGATCAAATATTCAATATCATTTATTGTCCATTTGAAAAATCCAATACTCATTAGAGTAGGAACAAGAATATGTTGATATCGACGTAGGAAAATACGAAAGCAAGATGATTTTCCTTTAATATTATCATGATTCGTTTGTTCAACATCAGAAATAAGCGGATGAAATCGAAATAATGGATCGCCTATTTCACAATCATTATCTCTGTGATATTCGTTTGGCATGATATGATGCGCTATTTGATGTTCATAACTCCATGTATAATGAGAACTGCCAATAATATCCATGAAAAGACCAACAAATCGATTCCAATATGGACTTGATGATATAGCACAATGATTACCTGAATGCATTAAAAAGCCCATTCGTGCTATAATCACACCTAAACATACAGCTGCAAAATAGCTGCATTTAAAACTTTTATAATAGATTGCTATGCAATATAATGCTAACGTCAATATAGCTTCAATCTGATATATCCATTGAAATGCATGACGGTTGCCATAATTTTTCTCAAGATACGTATCGACTCGATTGCGAAGTGTGTAAAAAAATTTCGATGAATCTAATGTTATGCCAGTATTATCAACAACGTCAGTATTTATCGTATATTTACACTCAGAATTTACATCAATAGACATTTCTCCAAGGTATTTACCATGTTTCATTAATAAGGCTTGACACCTCTTGATGCTGCTCGTACCATGATAACTCTCGAATAAACATGTCGCATCGGAGATTCCAGCAGCATATTGAATAATATTACCTCCTGGATGAAGATTAAGGAATGATGTTATATCATATACTTTGCCATACAAAACAATCCACGAAGATTTTTTGTCGCTACCATTATGTTCTTCGACTTGCTTTAAAGTAATTTTAGGCATCGTTTTGTCGTTATATGACATAGTACACAATATGGTATCGAAATGAATGGGTACACTGTAAGACGTAGAAGGTGTTATACTTTCGTTTTTTCAATACGATGTATGTCGTAAGAGAACAGAAAAAGAAAAAGTTGTGAAATGTATGTATATATTTGTAAGCAAATACAGAAAAATGAAAGACTTGGCCTATAATTAGCGATGGAATAAACATTAAACGTTCCCTTAGCATTATGATATATAATGAACATTTAATTCAAAAGAAACAAAGAACTATAAAATCTATAACTCTAGATGATATGTCCTCAATTAAATGAATAACAAAAATGAGAATAATCAATTCTCATCAACATTTTGTTTTAATTGTAAAACTTTTCACAAAATCTGAAGTCTTAAAAATGAATATATTGATAAATGGTAAATTCTTATTAAAACTTTCCACTTAAAATCTTATAGCTCGAAGGTTAAAGTATTGGATAAATTATTGTTCCATTGTATACATACTTTGGAATTCTATTATATGATTGAGTCAGATAAACATTTGTAGATAAATAATAACTATTAACGAATCTAATTTTTGTATCTTAAACCAAAAATAAAGATACTAGGATGATACTTATTATTTTTCTCTATTGTGAATTCTATTATTTGGCTCTCTTCAAACATGAATTTAACTATAGAATCGTTCAAATCACATGTATGAAAACTTATTGTTCCGTTCTAAATAAAATTGAGAACAATATTAAATAGAAAATAATTTTCTTTCTTAGACTATATTCTACCAAAATATAACATTTCATTTGATATCGATTCGTTAATCTGCCTATAATCCTTAATCTCTCTTTGTATAATATATGAAATATATTGTTTTGCTATATTCCGAGATATATCAACTCATCCTTCTAGCCAGAATGAAATTTTTGACAAACATCATCATTGTTAATATTTCTTTTTGTCGAGAAAGAAGGACACCTGCTGGTTTCTCCATTTAGCTATTTTTCAAATATTATTAGTTTTTTTTTTTAGTTATGAACAGACGAAAGACAAAGAAAAGAAAAAGAGAGCATATATGCCGAATATTATCATGTTAACCTCGATTTTTTCATTGTATCTTGATTTTTGCATTGAAATAATAGAAAAAAAAAAACTCAATCAAGGTCACCTTCAATTTAGTTTATCTCAAAAATATATCATAATTAATTACAACGATGATAGATAGTTAATGTACACAATAAAATAAACAATTGATCTATTGCTTTCGAACTAAATTTATTTCTACAAAAATATTCTACATAGTGATCAATTAAATGATCATTGAAAATAATATTGACTGAATGTAGCACTCCTACATATTCAATTGATACAAAGAAGAAAAAAAAATGCCGAGAAAATAAAATTTTCAGAAGTAAAAACATAAAAAAGAAAATGTAAAACTCGAACATACGTCGAAAAGTAAGCAGGTAATCTTTTAGTCAAATTCTTTTTAGTAAATATTATCACCTTCACTCTTACTATTATGTTGTATGCCATATTACATTTTATGGATTAGAATTTAGACGTTTTTTTTTTTATCAAAGATTTATGGTTTTTGACATTTAGTAACTTTATCGAATCAAAATCAACCAACATAAAAAAAAAATAAAGAATATCTCGAGAGATTAGAAAATAGTATATAAATCTAATTCATCAGTAAAACAATAGAAAAAGAATAAATAGCAACCAATTAATATTAACAATTAGTAATTCTTTGTCTTTATTATTTCAAATAAAACTAAATTATTGTTCACTTTAAACAGGACTTTATATTATGAAAAGAAAGACTTGAAATATAGCAAACTTGTTAAATGTCAAAACATAAAACGTCCAAAATTATAAATCCTTGGTAAAAAGAAAAAAAAAACTTTTCCTAAATTTTGATCAATACAATGTAATATGACACACACGCACGTATCACATCCATACTTTGAATGTTATGAAGCAATAGTTCAAGTGTTCTTTTTTTTCGATTTTTACAAAGTCTATCAAAGAAAAAACTTAAAGCTTTTTCCTCAAGCAGAATAAAATTATGTAAACCTACAAAAACCATTGATTTATAAATTATTTTAAATTCAAATAGAAATCATTGACCTCAATCAAAATTACTTTGAATTGTCTCTAATAATTGGGAATTATCAACACCATTAAACAGTCACACAACTTATTGTACCACAAATAATACGCAGTATTATTTTATTTGAATAAAATATTTATCTTGATTTTTTTGAAGAAATCAAGTTCAAATTAAAGAAAAAAACCTATGAAAATTGCTTAACTCGTCAAAACTAGATGGTATTTGAGTTTCAATTGACGGAAAAATGTGATGAAAAACTTCAAATGTCGATGACTGAATAATTGATATCTTGTAAAATAGAAATTTACTCGTTTTTAAAAGAAAGAAAAAACTAGGTAATGACGATATAAATCACTATGACATCTTCATCAATGCATATGAATATGCTTCTAAGAAATATTTGTCTTTAATTATGGTTCTAAATTTTTATTTTCAAGAACGATTCAACATACAATAGAAAGTTCTGTTGTGTATGTTGATTTAATTTATTTTAACCAGTTTTCTTTACCTATGAATATATTCAGAGATGTTCAATTTCGATAATTTAAACAAGTAAAAAGTAGATATAATGATATTGAATAGTTAGAAAAACTCGATCAACACATATAAATATATTAGTGATGAACAATATCGATTGATCGTTAGATTATCTCTGTTATTCACTATCTTATTCCCAGCTGTTATATACAAAATCACTAGTTCAAAGAATTGAGCGGCTAATTTTTCTTTATATATTCATTTTAATTATCTCAAAAGATGAAAAACAAAAAATGAAAGATTGTTTAAAATGATTGAAAAACAAATATCATCGATTCATTCTGATTATCATCATAGACAATCGATGATATTTGAGAAAATTCGATTTTAAAATAATTTATTCATTTTGAAAAAAAAAAACTTTCACAATAAAATATATTGTTTCAACTTGCAATAGTCTACATAAGTATTGTATTTGATGTCGTATTAATATCAGTGTTTTATTATTCGTATGTATTGTATAGTCTTAGTCAATTATTATTTATTTTATATAATTAATATACTTGAATATTTTAATTTTTTCCTATGAAAGAATCTCAAGAGAACAATATTCTAATAAATAATCACATTTTGAACTAATATGACATAATCAAAATATTTTAAAAATAATTCTTTATCTAAAACTTATTAAATAAATAGATTCGTTCGCCATGAATAAAATTTGAGATAGAATGATAAAATATCGATCTTATAATAATATTATTATTCTCTAAGGTATAATAAAATTGATCATACATAGAAAGCATTTCTTTCGTGTAAATTGATGATTACAATCATTGTTCTATTCGTTCGTTCATTCATTCATTCGTCTAACGGCATGTGTTCAAATTAAAAGTGTAAAAATAGAAGATAGAAGCTACCTGCTGTGCATCAATATATATAAAAAAAAAAACATGAAAAACATATGTTTATTGAGAAATATATTTCGTTGTCTCTGTAAACAGATTGTTCAAATATCAATTATTGAAAAAAAAAGGAATATAAAACAATGAATTATTTATCTTTATTAAAAATTGAAATACTTGAATGTCAAGAGTATCTTTATATAAATATCATGACGCCAATAAGTTGACTCTTCATATATACTTTTATTGTTGTTTTTCAATATAAAACGAAACGATATTTTGAAAAGAAATAAATTAACTGAATTTGAATTTTTATTGAAGTTATCATAATACAAAACAAACGTTTCTTAGCTGCTCCTTCACAATCGATCAAAGACAAAAAAACAAAACAAATGATGAATACATGCTTAGACGAAAAGAAATCGCTAAAAACATATTTACTTAAAAGATGTTCTTTTTCTTTTTAACATACGATCAATGACATTAGTTTTATATGTCAATATTTACAATAACATCTCACATTTATAGAATATAAACGCTTAGCTAACATATAGATATTTATATTTATTTCGACATTAATTTTCTACACGATAGAAAATATTAGATTTCCATTTTTGTTTTTTTTTGCTTATGAAATCATTGATAAATCCTTATTCTTTATTATTAAAATCTATATATATATTTATTAAATTAGAAAAAAAAATTAAAAATTTCAATAATCAAATATTGAAGATATCGAATCCATGTATGTCATAGAGATTGTCATCTATTATATGTTATTGAACTATTGAATTATATCTAGAGCATGAAATAATATCTCAAAATTTGCTATTCGATTCTACTTTAATTTCAATATTTATTTTCATATTCATTCAACAAACTAATTCTTAATTCGTTTAATACTTCATCAAATACTTTGATATTGTGTGAAAATATTATTTACTTGATTTTACTGTCCATATGTCTTGTTTTCACATCAAGAAAAATCTTTTCTGCTTTAGTTTTAATCTCATCTTCAATCGAACAAATCTATGAACAATTTTTCATCTTGTATTAATGCTCTATTTTCAATCAATGAAGTTTTCGAATAAAAACTGGTTTTAAGAGAAAAAAAAGAAATTTTTTTATTTGACGTGAGAAGAATATTTTCATCTCTCTCCTATTGTTTTTCTTTTTGCACGTCGGTCGCGAACGGTCAGTCAATTTTCTTCTAGAATGAATATCCTTGGTAAAGAAGAATAAAACAAAGAGAGAAAGGTGACCCGGCCAAGGGTCATTTATTCATCTCAACCAATAAATGACAATGACCTTCGAATGAACCAATGATTATCCCGTTTCTTTCATTAGTCTTATATAAATTGATGTGTATCTCAGTGAAATAGTTACACAATTCAGTTTGAATCGATAGAAAGTAAGTAAGGAAGTAGATGAATTTCTTATACGGAAGTCACTGTTCGTCTTGCCTCGCTTGATCGAAATAAAAATATAGCGAAGCTTGTCGATCAGTTCCCTCCGATGAGATATTATTATTTTATATTATTCAATTTACAAACAATTTGCAAATATGAAATTTGCGAATACACTGTTCACACACCTCGCGCCGTGATTCGATTTAAAAAAAATTCCGCTGGGTTGTGCAAACAGTCTAATTGCTTATTTCAAAATATCTACGATTATGAATTTTTTATTAAGACACAGAAAAAAACTGTTCATCTAGCCTCGCCTTTGAATTTTATTTTTAATCAAGGCGGGAGCAGATCGTGACAGTCATTAAATGTGTTTTTAATCGACGACTATTTCTTGTTTATTCAAAATGAAAAAAAAAAAATGTTTTTTATTTTTAAACTTGTGCCATACGAATATAACCTTTTCCACTAGGAAGATCTTTTCGAACTTCAACACCTTGTGGAAAATTTTTAGCAACATCTTCATCTTTAACATTAGGTGGAACCATTACTTTTTCGCCAACCTTAAATACAACAAAAACGAAGTGAAAAAAATAAAACAATGATCAAATCTACCTTCCAGTCGACTGGTGTTGCAATAGGTAATCGAGCTGAAAGTTGAAGTGAATCAAGTAAACGAAGAATTTCACTAAGTAAAATTATTTTCAATAAAAGAAAGGAAAAAAAAAAGAAAACAAACTCAAAATTTCTTCCAGTTGTTGCTGGATAGAGTAAACTTGCTTTTACTTTCTTATCAGGACCAATAAAAAAAACCTATTGAATATTTTAATCAATAGAAATATTAAAATTTATCAAATAATATGAAAACATACAGCACGAGCAGTAAGTGGTAAACCTTTGCTATCGAATTCGGCTGGATCAATCATACCAAGTTGTTTTGCTAATTTTCTATCATTATCATCAATAATTGGAAATGGAAATTCACATGAAGATTGTTCTTTTTTATCATAGGCTAGAAGATCCTTAAAACTAAAGATAAACAAAACGTCTATATATCGATAGAAACAACATACTTTTATCCATCCGTGATGATTTTCGAGTCCATCACATGATAAACCAATTAATTTAGTATTTCGTTTAGCAAATTCTGGTGATAATTTAGCAGCACGTGATAATTCAGTTGTACAAACAGGTGTATAATCAGCTGGATGAGAAAATAAAATTCCCCATCTAAAATAACATATTCGAATTGAAAAAAACATTTTCTTTTTAAGAACACAAAGGATACTGACTTGTCACCAAGCCAATTATGCAATTGAATATCACCAATTGTTGTTTTTAATGTAAAATTTGGAAATTCATCTCCAAGTTTCAATGACATTATTTTAAAGATGACGAAAAAGGTTTCGTTCGTATCTAGAAAAATGTCGATATGAATAAAGCAAAAAAGGAACCTATTATTTGCAGTAGACGAAGGAAAAGAAAACGATGTCATTTATTTGTGCATCAACTAAAGTGTTCGAAAGAACAAAAAAATATGTAAGTAACCAAGGTAAAACATTATCTTTCACAATCACACAGTTTATTTTTATTATCAAGTGTGTATCGAGGGTTTCTTTCATCTGCTAGACATTTGCCCTTTTGAAAAAATGTCATTTGATATATTTATCTCGGAATTACATTTATATGTAATATAATCTTAATAATTTCAGTTTTAAAATAAAGAAACTACTTGAAAAATAGAGAATGATACCGTCCTATTAAATCGTAAATCTACTCACCTCTTCTATCTTACTTTTCATAAAGAACTCAATTGTCTTATAGGATCTATCAACTTCGGACAGTATAATTCTCGGAAATTTTTACTATTATACACTCAATATAAAAAGTAAAAGAATAAATTGATGTAAGTTTTCATGCTCTCAAAAATTGACATAATGATTATGTTTATAAATTGATCGATTTAGAATGAAACAGGTGTGATATTTCACCTGTGTCATCTTACATAAATTAATCAAAAAAAAAACGCATGATCATTAAGACAATTTGTAGAGCATAGAAAACTGTATCTATATTAACTTTCAAATTGCATTTATATTTAAAAAAATTTCGTTTTTATTCGACATGTCCAACCCTAATAGACTCTATAAGACTTTAATCCTAGGATATTGTTTTTCTTTTGCCTTCAACAAAAGAAAAAAATATATAAATAGAAATGTACAGGATAGAATGGTCTACATTTCTATTTTTTATTGAGAGTCATATATAAGAGCGTGACAGATTTACGATCTGATCTGCCAATGTCTTTTCATTGATTTGATAGGTAAGCATCCAGAAAATGATAAATAGAAATTTGATAGATGAGCTACAAGAAAATTTTGTATTGAAATGAGTGAATAACTTTTAAAAAAGGTTATAGTTGTGTTGTTTTTAGATATAAAATACTTAAATAAAATCAGTTAATCTTTATGACATTTCGATAGAGTTGTAAACCCAAAACATAAAATGACATATAATTGTTAATCAATGTTGAAAATTTCAATAAACAATATGTTATAGTTTTAACTTGTCAGGCAAATTAAAACGTGTCGATTTATAATATCTAAAAGAAACAAAAATAATTTAAATATATTTTTGAATAACAATAGATGTATCATGAATAATTGTTAAAAAATCTTTATAAAGAATATTTTTCTCTTGAATACAATAATTTGTTGTCCATTGTTGAAAATCTTTTTCAATATTTTGTTTAACTATAATTAAAAATTGTTTTATATTATCATTAAATTTATATTTATTTTTGATAGATAGATCATCATATGGTGACCAATTATATTGATTAGAATATAATTCAATTGTTTTAATAATTGTCCATGATATATCATTATTACCTGAATAAAATTCTAATGAATTCCAATAATTAAATGATTTAATTATTTGAATTTGTTCATTTGAAAGTAATTGTTCTAATTCATATTCAATATTTAATTGATTATAAGGATTAATTAATAAAACAAAACCATATTCAATAAATAAATCAATATTTGAATGAGGATTGTAAAGAAATGTTATTTGTTCATTATAATTTATTGATTTTATTGTATGAATTTCATAGGAACGAGTTAAAGAATTAAATTTTGATATTGTATTTGGTTCAATTGAATGATTAACAAAGTCTGAGAAGTAAAAAAACAAAATTAAATCATTTTTCTTTTATTTGTTATTTATTAAATATCTTCAAACCTAAATATGGTATAAGACAAAGATTATCATCTTGATCTTTTGATGAAATTTCCATATCAAAATGAACACATCGTGTATTTATTGTATAATAAGCCCATTGAAAATGATCATTTGTATAATTTAGAAATTTATTTCGTGATTGATTATATTTATTTAAATGTTTTTTCATTTTATCTATTAATTGTCGAGGATATTTATCATTTGAATATAAACACCATTTTGGTATAGATTTAATTGATCGAAGAAATTCAATATATGGATTTGTTTTTTCTTCTAATAAATAAATAATTAAATGTTCAAAACCTGTTAAATTATTATTTTTAAATGATGGTTTTATAAATAGATGTTCAGGTATTGAAAGAATAAGAGAATCTTTTTCAATTAATGATTGACAACAATAAAGACCAAAACCAGTTTCATTTGAATAAGAAACATTTACATTTTCTATATTGACACCAGTTGAATTAAACCATGAGAGAAATCGTTCAATATTCATATTATATCTATAAACAATTATATATAAGTGAAAATAATTATGATTATATTTCAAAGATAATAAATGATTATGTTTTATTTCGAATTACAATCAAAATATTTCTCTAAGATTAAGATTTACATTTAATATTTCATTGAAAATGAATTTAATTCATGCTGTCTAATCAATAACGAAACAAAATAAATCAAATAAAACTCTCAAAATCTCTTTATTGACTGTACTATACTCATTTATTGTTTCATAACTTCTACCGTCAACGTCGTCTTAGTATGATATTATTCACTAAATTTCGCTGATTAGAACAGGAAGATATTTTCTAGAATAGTATTCTCCACAAAGGGTTAAGTTTACTTCTATATTTTTAAAATGCATTTTTGAAAGTGTTTTCTTAATGAATGTCGATTTGTGTGTCGACGCATAGATGAAATTTCGTTTGTTGTATTATCTCATTTTCTAGAGAATTGTGAAGTACGTCAAAAATAATTTTAAGCCGTGATTGATCTGTAAACTAAAGACTTCATCACAACTATGTATATGTTAAATTTGTTCGAAAATAGTGAAAAACTCTAGATTTTTACGCTCGAAATTTTACATGAATAAGCGAATGATTTAGAGTTTTATTCGAATATAATTACAATGACTTAAACATGAAATATTAAATTATATTTGCTTACTCTCACAAACATATACCAGTCTCATAAATAAAAGTTTTTCATATATTTTTCTCACAATGGTTAACGTATAGATTCTCAAGAAAATCTTTTAATAGTTTCACAGACTATTCTTTATCTAAAAACGTTTTTTTTTTGTATATGAACTATGAGATATTCTTATATGAAATCTACATAGTTAATATATTCCCAATAGTTGAAAATGAATATTTTCATTAACAGAAAAGAAAAAAAAAAGATGAAAGTTTAGCTTAAACTTTTGAGATAAAACAATAGAAGAATAATGAAAACACAAAAAGAAGAAGAAAAAAAAACGATAATAAATATGAAATTAATTTCTTATTTAATTGAATGAGTAGGTGATGATGCCGGTTTTTTCGTTGATTTTTTCGTTATTTTATTCATTTGATATTCAATATTTGTCCAAAGAAGATTTTTTAAATTTTGTAAAATAAGTGATTGTCGAATTTGTAATGATATTAAATCAATATGATTATTAGCAAATATATTTTGATCATTAATTAATTGTTGACATTGTTGAATAAGTGAATTAAAATCTTCAATAAATGTTGAATTAGCATCAGGTTTAATCAATGATGATATTAATGCACATAAGTCATTTAAAGAACCTTTATTAAATTGTTTCATTTGACAACTATTTGTTGATATATTACATGATGCATAACAATAAGAATCATATAAACAATCTCGATTGTCTTTACAACGATTTGGAAGACGAGATAATATTGATCTTGATGATATTAAATGATTTAATTTTAACATCTAAATTAAAAATTTGATCATTTATATAAAACAATTAGAATATTTTTGAAATTTTTCGTTAGTTTAATGATTATTTAATATTGGACAAAAAAAAAAAACAAAAGGATTTCCTATTCAGTTTAGTATACAGATTCATTGGATTTTATTTTTTAAATGTTACTAATTATATTAAAAACGATTGAATTTTTATATAAGAGAATAAAAATGAATAAATGGTTAAATTTATTTAGTGACGATTAAATCAATTATGTCAAGTTAAACATCAAACTGTCTGTACAATGTTTTAAGTAATTCTACTGATTTTATAGAAAATTAGCAAAATGTATCATTGCAAAGATATTCTATAGTTGTTAAATATTCAATATTTAAGGAACGTTCGATTGATTATTATTATTATTACAAAAATCAAAAGCGTTCGAATATATTGCTTAATCGATTGTTTTCAGTTGAATTTTCTAAGAACCTACCATGTTTGATGATATTTATGAAATTCTATTCTTATCTGACATCATTAAGAGACTATTCAAAGATTTTCTATCGTTTCGTCTGAATACAACAATAAAGTGACCGAAAACAATCTATATCAGTTTGAATTATTGTTATCTATATATTATTCAAACTAAAAATAATTGTTCTTTCTGTCAGTCAGACGATTTTCTTCAAAGTTCTTATTTAGAGAAAGATGAAAGCTTCGTCGCGCCTAAAATGTCCAAGTTTTTGCTCAAATTCTTAATGTAAAAATAAGCAGACAATCTTTTTAAGAGATGAATAGGATTGAGATAGGTCCCAACGAAGAGAGGACCAAGTGACAACTGGTCTATTATAGGAAAAGTTGGGCGATGATGAGTTTCTTTATTCGCTCTGCTCCTCCTGTTGTAACTTCTTTTTTTTGCCGAATCTTTAGTTCCTTCAAACCTTAAAATCTTGATTTTGTTTTGGGATAAAAAGAAAAAAGGTAACGAGCCTCAATGACAAATTAATATTGCATATTATTAACTGTTGAATACAAAAATGTCGTTTGTTATATTAATATAAAATCAGTTGAAAAAAAAAAGTTAGATTAAGATTATCAAACGATTAGTAATTTCTATTTAAAATAATGAAGAATATACTAACCAAATGAATATCTTAATATATAGAAAAAACAAAAGAAAATCTGTGTGATAAACGATTTTAAATAATTGGAAAAATAATAATTAATTTAATTTGTTTTGTTTTGTTAAGATAATAAATAAAACTTACTTTAGCTTCATAATCTTTATCATAACCAAATGCTTTAATTAATGGTTGACATAAATATAAATGTTGATCAGTATCTTGATAATGCCATGTATCACTAAAAAATTCAATTATTCCAATAGCTAATCGTGTTCGTTGAAACCAATTAGGTCGTTCAGATGATAAAAATAATTCTAAAATATTTATTTAATTAATAAAATAACAAAAAAAAAACTTAAAAATAAAAAATAAAAACCTTGTTTATTATCAAAAGGTAAATGTGGATAAATAACTTTTTCAATAGCATATATATGTCCACATGTTCCACGAATTTTTGGTATATAAATTTTATCTGATAATAATATTGTATAAAGAAATTCATCTATTTGTACAAGTGACCAAAGACTACGTGCTTCAGTTAAACTTATCTAATTAACAAAAACAAAAAAATGTAAATTTCTTTTTAAAATACAAAAATAAATTTTTTTTTGTTTACTTTATTATCTTTATTAAAATCAGCAAATTTAATTAAATCTTCAATTAAATTATCTGGATTATCCAATTTGATTGTTTTCTATATAATTGAAAAATATTTTAATTTAAATAAATAAAATAAATTCTAATTAATACTTGAATATGTCGTTCAAGTGCAATATAAAGTGTTTCAAGTGTTGATTCATCTTCAGGAAAATTAAAATGTTGTTTAAGATCACCTGTTGGATTTGATTTACTTAATGGATGTTTTAAATAACAACGAATAACTTGATTTCCTTCATCATCATCAAATAACTATTTTTTAAAAAGATTTTTAAATACAAAATTTTTTTTTTGCTTAAATATATTAAAATCTTACTCTTGATTCAAACTGTTTATGTTCACCTAAACAATTTTGTAATTGAACACTTTTTGTTGTACATAAATCAGGACATAATTGACCACCGATGAAACCTTCTGAATAAGCTTTGCACTTAAAAAAAATGTTAGAATAAAATTACTTTTTTTTTTATAAGAAAAAATTCAAATAAACTAACCACAAAATCTGTACATTCTTTATTAAAACAAGTTGGATCAATATATGAATAATATGAATAAAGTATAGAGAAAATAAATAATAGAATAGCAAAAATCACAAAATAAATAAATCGATTACAATAATTATTCTAAAAATATTTTTTTTATTAAAAATTAATTTAAAAGAAAAGAAAATAGGAAACTTACTTCAGAATAATTATTTATTTTAGTTGATGAATAATTTAATGAAGAAACAGTTTGATGATAATCATCATCTTTTTTTGATGATATATATTCACGTAATGGATATGATACTTTAAGAAAAAAAATACTTTTCTTTTTTTCTTTTTTTATATTTATATATATTTAATTAACTTACTCATTATGGAAGATATTCAATTTACAATATTACATCTACAAAACAAACAAAAAATTATTTATTTTAGTTTTAAAATAAAGCACAAAAGTGGACGGAAGATATTCTCGTATAAATATATATATAAATATGTAAATGAGATTAGTTATAAAAAACAAAAACACACATGATTGTTAAAAGCATGGAATGTTTATTATTATTATTAATGAGATTAGGAAGAATTGATTTATCGACGATTACTTCCACCACCACCACCTGTTCGTCGCTGTGGACTTATTTCATTATCATCATGCAACCATGTCTAGAAATTTTGTTTTTTTTTTTAATATTTCTCTCTTCAAATAAAATACATACATGAAGCTCTTCATTAGTAACTTGTAAATTATTGACTCTTCGTTCCATAGTTGCCATCCATTCTCGATACATTTGTTCCCAAGTAGCAACCTTTATTTAATTATTTAGAAAATAAATAAATAAACAAAACTAAATTTACTTGTTTTTTTGCTTCTTCTTCTCGATTACATAAATCAGCCATTTTTTCTGCATGTTCTTGTTTCATAGCATCAAATGCTTTCTATCAAAACAAATACATTTATTCAATATACCAAAAAAATAAATTAAAGAACAAACTTGATAATCTTGATTTTCAACACGTAATGCTTCACATACACTTTTTATTTCAATTAAATCCGATTGTGCCATGTCTAATGCTCGCTCAAATTCCTATAAAAAAGAAATTCATATATAAGTATGAATGTTCATTATTAAGAAAAAAACCTCTTTGGCATTTCTCTCTTCTTGTGTATGTTGTTTTTCAAGTTTGAGTTGTTCGTTTAATTGTTGATTATTTTGTTTTTCAATATCTAATAATTTTTTAAAATCGGAACATTTTGTACATGGACCAGAATTAGTTGATGATGATTGTTGTTGTTTGCTATTTTCTTTTTGTTCAATTAATCGTTTTAATTGTGCACTTGATTTTCTTTCATTATCCAACATTTTTTCTAGTTCTTCACATTTTTCACATGATTTTGTCTTTTCAGGACGATTTAATCTATAAGTTAACTTATTTATTATAATAAATGATAGAAATTTAAAATAGAAAACGAACCCAGGAATACTTGTATTAACATATTCTTTTTCTAGTTTAACTACAGTTGTAGCTTTAGCACGACGTAATTCATCCAATTTTATTTTATAATCAGCAACTTGACGTTCAAGCTTAATAGAAAACAAAAAAAATACTAAGTTAAAATAAATTTAAAATATTAAAAATTTTTTTTTTTTACTTCGGCGACTTTATTTTTGAGAGTAGGAACATCTTCTTTAATCCTTCCAGTTGCTGTATTAGAGCTACTAATTGAACTCGTAACTCCTTGAGATTTTGCTGTTGCCATTAGGTACAATATTTAAAGATTTATTTATTGACATAAATTTCAAGAGCTTTTCAATTATTTCTTTTCTCGTTTCGAGTGGGCATCGATACAAACCAACAATATCGATTCGATAGAGGTCGATCATTTCTGTACTCAATTCAGTATTTTCTTTAAGTCAAATATCTAGATTATAAAAACGTTAAAAACTCGACGAATTTTATCCATAGTTTTTTTTTTATAAAATCAGTTAAATATTTGTCTTATTATTTGCTCAAATAGAAATAGATATTTTATCCAAAATGACTGATTTAATGTTTAACCTAGAATTATTTCAACAATCGTTTCTATTAATTGAACAAAACTACTCTTATGACAAAATTCTAAATTGTCAAATTCAAAGACTAGAATCATCGAAATTAGTTTGTAAATTAGTATTTTTCTAATATACGTGTTTATTTTTTCTCTTCTCTGAATAAATAATATATATAAATTTTTTGATTACATATTTAAATATTTTGAAGTAACTAACAAACTAAGTTCGCATAGTGAAACTCTCTATAACGAAAATATAATGTCCGCGGTAGTATAGTGGTTAGTATCCCCGCCTGTCACGCGGGAAACCGGGGTTCGATTCCCCGCCGCGGAGTAACTTTTTTTTTTTGTTTATAGTATTACTATTATTTGAACAACGTAAAATTTATAAAGAAAGAAAAGAATTTTTCGCATTACTAATCAACCATCAAGTCTTTATTGATACGTAGATAGATCTATGTGAATCAAGTCAGACTTGGCAACAAGTAAAATTATAAAAATAAATAACATATATTGTTTTTTTTCTAATTGTCAATTACAACCTAATGGTTCATGGTACTTTCGATCATGCGTCGTATTCTTCTCTTAGTAGCTGTCTGCTGGATCGGTATGTTCATGCAAATAGATGTAACGAAAGCTACTACAAGCGTATGTTAACGAAACTTTCTACGGTGCGTTTTTGAGGTTATTGATAATAATCGTTTCTTAGATCTATATTAAATTTAAATTGGTTGATCATATTAACTAGAAAGAATATACCATGTTTTACCATCAGAAAAATTTTGATGAAGAAGTGAAAAAAAAATAAATCAAATTTTCGGTCATTTCTCACATTAGTTTGCCCGTTGTTATAAGATTTTCATACATTTTTGTAAAAGTTTATATAATTTGACGATTTGATATTGATTAATTTAGCAAATATATCGATTGTTTATAATATTTTATTTGATATATATATATATTTAAAAAAAATAAAGGTAAACAATATTTACATAATTGAATACATTTTCGGTTAATCACACAATAAATAACACATAATACAGCAGAATCTTTTTCGATGGAACTTAAGAATAGCAGCAGAGAAGAATAAGAAAGAAAAAAAAGTTACTCCGCGGCGGGGAATCGAACCCCGGTTTCCCGCGTGACAGGCGGGGATACTAACCACTATACTACCGCGGACAGAAAATAATGTTCTAAATCAATATATTAAATTTGATTCATATTTCAAGTCTTCATGTATGTAATTTTTTTTCATTTTCATCTAAATTTTTAATCAATAAGAATAATTAATGTGCAATCGTGATCGATAGTTGTAAATATTGAAGAACATCATATTTTATCAAAATAACAAGCAAATCAAATATGTAGTTTAAAAAAAAAGTATTATTCATTAGAAAAACATTTTTAATAATTTTTTTTTTAACTGAAAACAATAAATGAAGTATCTATAGCCATTATTGTTGACAGGTTTGCTTGTTTTTGCCAAAGTAGATAGTATATACTTATGGAAAATAAAATTATTCTTCGTGTTAATATATGTATTTAGCCAAGTTTTTGAAATTGTTTGTTACGAATCAGTTCAAAATGATATTATAGCAATGTATCTTCAATCGCCTCACATAGCACCATTTTATATATTTGATATTTGATGCATTTTATTATGTTTTCTAGAAATAAAATTTTCTGAATATAATATGTGGAAACAAATCAAAATTCACTGATAAATAGATGATCTATCTTTAGGTTGGTGATATGATTATGAAATTTTGGTAGTTTTCAATCACTTACCATTAATAATTATCTAAGATATTAATATACAAACTGAATAATTTTATAGCATTCCATCAAAACTATAAAAATTGTTGCCAGTTTACAAGTACATTGTTGAAAGTAATATATCTGTTATCTTAAATTAATTAATGATATTGTTGAGAATATAAATCAGTTCATTTATACAGGTCTTAGCAACCGCGCACAGAAGGCTTCAGACTTTATACAATATTATATGCATTCAAAAATATTTGAAAAAAGACTGTTTTTCAGTTTAGAAATAACGCATTAGGATAACAACTTGGAAGGATATATATGAGATCCACAGTTCAGCTTCAAAGGAGCTGCACTAATAAACCTTTTTTAATACATTATTAGGTTTTTAATACAAAAGACTATGTAATAATTCACTGTTCATAATGAATTCTTTGGAAGTTGATATTTGTTAGATGCACAATATAATTCTAGTTTAATTTGTATATGAAGCTGATATATTCAATTTTTCAATAAGAGAATCGAAATATTTGGAAGAAAGAAAATAAGAATACAATAGACGTCTGTGCAAGGAGGTAAGTGCTGAGGTATTGAAAAGATGTTGAGCTGCTCACACATATAGTTCAAAGGTGAAAGACAATGGGGGAACAGTGGATTTTAAGTCACAAAGTACAAAATTATTTCAAAGTACTTTGAAGTACACTACACACTTGTTCGAAGTATTAGAAAGTACTTCATATTACCACAAAGTATGTCAAAGTGTTCTTCGAGACTCTAGAAAGGTATAGAAAACTATATTATTATATTAAAGAAACATGAGTGCCTGCCTTTTTTACTCACGAAATCAGAAAAATCACTAACGAAACACGCAAGGAGAGGAAAAAATTTATTGATAACTATCGACTGTTAGTTGTTTGATACACGACGGACGATGACTTCAATATTCGATTATGTTTTTGATAGCAGACCCATGACTTGTGAAGATACTTGATATTTTCATTTAATTTGAAATATGTCCTAATTCCATGATTTCAGAACTCTTGAGGAGCTGCTGAACTCTTGGAGCTTGACCACCGCTACGAATCAGGCTTGTTAATTAGAGGGACGTGAAGGTTATCCCCTTCCAAAATTTTCTGTTTGTCTGCAAACTTGATTTGAAAATAGTTGCTGATCTTACATGACTTACCGAACATCTACAGATTGCAAAAGTTGAAGTCGAATGATGTACTAGTCTGTAATCAATATCTTCTATCAACAATATTCGATAAATGTTCAAAATTGAAGCAAAACTCTGAAGAAAGAGAAAAAATATAGTAAATTCAAAAACTCGAAACAGTTGTATAACGCGTCACTAATTTTGAAAGAAGAAAAATATGTGATTATTTTCTATTTAATGAATGATTGATTTATTTGCTATGGTTGCTTCACTACTCAATTGTTTTCCTTTTTTTTAAATAAATACCGTTAAAATATTCACATATAAACTTCTCTACGTACAAATGTTTTATTTCTAGTGAACTGATTCAACTCAACGACAGACTAAATACCATTGGAGTTAGTCGTGAAGAAAAGTCTCATTTTTCTTACACAATGACTCATTGCATTCTTTTAAATTTCATTTTTTTTTTTGATTATTTTTCACCATTAGTATAAATACATCTTTAAAGAAATTTCATCATCATAGAAATATTATTGCTACAAACTTTCATTGAGTAATAAGATTTATTTGAATTTGAATTTGAAAATGGGAAATATTCACAACATTGCAGTTAGAAAATGACTTTTATTTAAAGAATCTTTTGAAATTTTTTTTGAAGCCCATAAACAAATTTAATGAAAAATATCGCAGAAATTTATTGAACAGTTTTCTTATAAAAAAAAACGAAGATCTTATATACATATTAAAGTAAAGTATTTCTTCTGATGGATGTCCATCAACAGTAATTATATTGGAAGAAATATCAAGATTTGACTAGCAAGCAATAGACATAGGAGTTGAACGTATTCGTTTTGATGATAGATCGTATTCAAAGATTTTGTTAAAGACATTAGAGATAAAAATAGATTATTAAATAATAAAGATAGATCAGTATTAGTTACTATATTTAAACTAGACAATATAATTAATTGGTTTCAAAGAGATCCATCTTTGAAAACCTAAAAAAAATTTTGCTTAAATAAAAAAAAAGAAGATAAGAACTAACCTTAATAAATCCATCGATTAATTTTATTAGTTCATCGAAGAATTGTTGTTGAAAATCCTTTTTCTAGTTTTAAATAAAAACAGAATAATTATATACGAAACGAATAATCGTTTATTTCGGGATATCTCATCAATTAGATCGAACCGCCTTCAATGAATATTACTCTGGCTATTGTCCGTCGTCATTTAGTGAATAATAAACATCCTCACATATTGTATTTTTCTTATTAGCTTCTAGACAATACTGATTTTTACAATGAGTAACTCAAAAGAGCCATTGACATTGTACCTTTCGGCTGTACAATAAAATCGGTACAATGATGTAGTTAAGGTTTGTTCGTATGCTTTATTTGAAACGTGTTAACATTAGAAAAAATTTGTAGATTCTTACCAACGTTATTAATAAAACGAAAGATAAAGATGATTTATTAGTATGTCTCCAAAGTCGTATTGAAGCGGCATATCGTGCTGGAAATTATAACCGTAAGAAAAATGTTAAACATGTCTAAAACATATACCAATATAATTCAATTTTTCTTTAGAAATCGTGAAGGATTTTAAAGAACTACAAAATCTGGGATTTAATTTTGACGAAAATAAACAATTAATCCTTATTCTATTGTAAGTCAATAAATACTGTCATTTATTTGTAATTGTTTTTTCTTTCTAGTGAAGCAAAGTATCGGGTTCAATCTGAAAAAAAACCATTGAAGAATTAAAGGAAACAGCTACAAAATGTAAG